CATGCGCGGTGGTCAGAACGGCGCTTTTGATTTTTCCTGGGCCGAATTTCATCCACGCAAGCCAGCCGAGACACAGCTATATTATGCAAACCTTTCTGAATTTCATTAATTAGTGACCGTCTGATCATTCCAAATGAAGGTTAAAAGAACTAAAAAGAAATTCAAGAATACGTCAATATAACCTTAACTAGAAAGACACATGGCGTCACAAACTGGGCATGCCTTGGAGACCTGATGGCTTGCTCATGATATATACAGCGATGGAGAAACTCACTTCCTGTCTTCCTCTTTGACGACTGCTTCTGCAACTACGGTTCGTACCTTGAAGCGCTCAAGCTTGTGCAATGATTCGTGATCAATACCTCGCGATTGAATGTCTGTAGTGTGCTGGAATAATCCGCCCCTGCAGGCATGCTCTAATTTGGTGAATATACCTTCCACTTCCGATTTCAGGCGATCACTTGCTCTGCCTTCATGTGGAAGTGTGCGGTCATCATGCCACACGCTGTCCATGTAAGTATGTTTCATAGCTTCATCACCCTGCACCTGGAATCTCGTATCCATGTTTGGAGTTTGGATGCTCATATCATAGCTGTAAGGTGGTCTTGCGGGTTGAGGAAATTGGTTTACCACCTGTCTCTCAGTGCCGGAAGTCATCATTCTCAAAACAACGCGCGAGAGGGACCAACGAAGGCTAGCTCTTTGTTGATTCAATTTGATTAGTTGCTTCTTCTTTCTAAATATATGGATGAGAGATGAATCCAATGATGATGAGTAGTGTAAGAACGCGAAAAACTTGAATGCCTCGATCTATGTATGCATTGGCCTGGGTGGCCTATATATATATATATATATAGTGACGAGACGAGGCTGGGAACTCTTGGAAATGGTAAGTTAGCGTTGACAAATCAAACGTCAAGAAGGGAGGCCAATTCTTGCGGTGCTTATTGCATAGTCTTTCACGTCTTGTTATCCTGCAAAAGACCATTCCAAGACCGTTATGGAATGAGTAAATGAGGTTGATATTTCTTCGAGAGGGACTATGCTGGAAGTTTCCCTTGGGCCAGCACAACAAAAATGGAGTATTTGACAGGAAACTCAATTGGATGACCGCCCATCGAGATTACCCGGATTTTATTCACGACTCACGCGTTTTGGTGCAGACTGGTTGAATTGATTTTTTGCCTCTTATTTACTGCGCAGTGCATGGCTTTGGAAATTAGTTTTTTCTATATATGCATTCAAAACACTACACTCTACGCTGATGTTAAGTTGATTCTAATAGAATTTAGAATGTGATCTACGACATGATGGGGTGATGGCCGGGTCACCATCCAAACAGGACTAGCTCTTGGAGCTTGAAACGTCAGAGCTTACTCGCGAAAGATGCCGTAAATTGAAGTCTTTCGTTTTCATTTCCCAGTTCATGCCTCGCGGCTGTTTTAGGGTTGAACGTCAATGAGGATTTCGTTCTTCTTCTTCACATAAAAAAATCTATAAATCTATATATTTACACCTATATATATTTATTATAATACAGAATTTATAAAAAAATCGTCCAAATTTATATTATTCGCAAATCAAGTATTATTTGCCAAATTTCTTGAACTAGCCTGTCCTTTGAAAAGTTCGATACGGTGCTGCGAGTATTTTATATATCCTCTGGCCTCTCGAAATAAAAGGAATGGAAAACTCTGACTTGATCTGTGCCTTGGGCGGGGTACGTACGTTGAATTTCAAATGCGATCATGTTTCTTTTCTTTTTTCTTTTTTATAACAAAGTGTGTAAGACAATGCTACCTACAATGCTCTAAGATATCCCGAAGGTTGGAAGATTCCATGAAGCCCAGCAGTCGCAGCCAATCCAGCCTTGGCAAGAAAATCTGCAGCCATATTGCACTCACGACACGCATGATGAAGATGAATAATCCAATCTCTTTCGAGCAGGTGCCTGACTTCCAGAATCAAGTCATGATCGAAGTGTTCACGGTTTGGTGCCACTTTCACAGCCTCGAGAGCCTCCATGGTATCCAAACTTAAGCACGTACGACTCTCCTTGCACCAGTGTCCCACGCCATCTTCAGTCCTAAAAGCAGAGCCCAGATTTCAGCTGAAAGGCTATCAGTGCAATTAACTCTGCCAGCGAAACCCCAAAGGAGTTCTGCTAGCACAATCATTTTTCATTTCTTAAAGATTGTGTTTGGACAAGTGAATTTAAGTTAAAAATTTAAATTTAAAATTTTATATTTAAAATATCACATTTAAAATTTATAAAATCTAAATTTTTTGTTTAGATCATGTAAAAAATTTTAAATTATAATATTAAAATCATTTGTTTGAAGCCAAAGTAAAATTCCAAGTTGGTGGAAGTCGACTGTCTCATCCTATTCGTCACCTTCAGTCCGGTCTCGATAGAAATTGGTCGTCCCATTTTGTTAGTCGCCATTGGTCTAGTCTTGACTGCCACTGTCTGTTTGGTCTTGATAGAAGTCAGCCATCCTATCTAGGTCGGTGCATGCGGTCTTGTCTTGGTAGAAGCCTCTTGTCTACTCTAGATCACCTAGTCCTTGCTGCAATCGACAATGTACTCTCAATCAACAACAGTGGTTTGATCCCGATTAATGGTGGTGGCTTGGTTTTGTTAGCTTCAACAATCCAGTTCAATTACTTTAGGTGGGTCGATCAAGCCTTTGTGGATGGGGCAAATAACAAAAGAGATTAAGCTATGATTTAAAATAATAAAAATTTAAAAAAAAATAAATTACAAAAATATTGAGAACTTGAATTTAGATTTAAGTTAAATTTAAATTCATATATTTTAATTATCCAAATAATAAATTTGGCTCAAATTTAAATTCACATGTATCCAAACATAATATAATTTCATTCTTTCAGTTAATTTTTTTAAATATAAAATCAATGTTGAATTTGATATTGCAGCAATATCAATAAAAAAATATATAAATTAATTTTAAAAAAAATGCATGATTCCAATTTCCAGCAAAGGAGCTTAGGGCGCTTCCCCGGGTCAAGTCTTTCAGAATTCTGATTGACCGGAAGGTACCGGAAGCCGCTAGCTACCTTGACTCCTTGCTCCACCCGCATTTCTCCCCTACCACTACAAGAAACCCTTGACTGGCAGGAATATATCCGTATCATCAATAAATTGCTTTTGTTATTTTAAAATTTTAGTCATTCCCTAATTATTTAACCATTGATTAATAAAAAAGTTAAGGCCAAAAATAGCAGTAACCTTTTCTCCAACATCTAATATTTTTAAATAAACAAAGGTGCAATAATGCACACCACTTTGTTATGATAAGTATAACAATACCCATTCTGTTAAATTTGATTAAAATTTATTAATGTTGATTGTTAAAAGAAACAAACAAAAGGTATAAAAATATTCATAAATTTTTTTCTTGAACCTTCTAATATCATAAAGTGGACAATGATATATAGATACCTATTAATTTTATAAAATAGATCAACATCCTCTAATTCATTAAGTTTTATTTTTAAAACTTCATAGCTAATATCAAGTTCTTTTAACAGATTGGAAAATGTTAGATCAGTAATTTGAATTAAACTTGATGAGCCAACTCAAATAAACTTAAAAAAAAATTTGGACTAGACTTGGTAATTTAAAAAAAATTTACTTCAATCTTATTCAACGGACTCAATAAGCCAAAAGGAATTCAAATCAAGCCCAAACTTGAGTAAGCTTAGTCCAAAAATTTGAATTCTTTTTTATTATTAATAAAATTCCAATAAAAACTGAAATTGGTTAAAAAAGAATAAATAAAATGATATTTAATAATTTGAGTATTCGGCCAAACTAAATAAACCTGCAAACTCAAGTTGTTAAGGGTGAGCTTAGCTACTTGGATTTTCTTTTGTAATGTTTGCTTCCTTCTTTTTTAATAGTTAACATTAATTAACTAATGTTAGTCAAATTTAATGAAATGAAAACTATTGCATGTTGTATTCATTATAACCAGTTTATGGATATTGTTACACTTTTATTCACTTAAATATATTGGATGTTTTTTGAGAAAGAGAAAATAAATTGTTGGATAATTTTGACTTGTAACCCTTAATAAAATAGTAACAAATAGATAAAGTCTACCTATCATTAAATTTTGCATATCATAACAAAAATACTACGACCATCAAATCAAATCAAACTTTGTTATAATTTAAGTAACGGGGTAAATCTATATAGATAACCTGCCCCGTTATTAATATTATTATTCATCGAATTATTAGTACCTCCTCCTAAATAGGAGTCGTCTTCTTTGTCTTCGTGCTTTTTTTTTTCTTTTTATCAGCACTAACTGGAGTCTTCAAGTTAATATTGATGGCCCTTGGAGTCATACAGTTTCAGCTCCCATCTACCATTCATTTATAGACTTTAAGAAACACGCACGCTTTTAAGTTCTAATTATATCTAAGGCCAAAAAAAGGTTACCCTTCCCTATCTTAAATTATAAGATATTTTTAAATAATATCTCACATATTAATAAAATTCATTAAATACCTTTTATAATTTTATTTTTGCAAGACAAGAATATAAACTTTTACAAATATTACCCTCTTAATATTCTATTGATAAAAGAATATTGAAGAGATATGAGAAGGATAATATTAAAAAAGTATCATTAATGAAATCTTATCTTTATTTAAGTGTCTTATATTTTAAAATATTAAATCATTCTTAAAAAGTACTCCCTCCGGTCCCATTTATAAGTCCAATTTTAGAAGGTGTATTTGGTCCCATTTATAAGTCATGGTGCGTCTTTTTAGGTAATATTTGAGAGGTATTTTCAAAATTACCCTTCATGAGAGAGAAAAAGTAACAGGACATTACTTTTTAGATTTGTTATATAGGGGCATGTTTGAAATTTTACTTACTTTTATTCCTTATACTTTTATTGTATTGGTATTGATGAGGTTGGTACAAATGACTTATAAATAGGACCGGAGGGAGTATATTATAATTTGAGATGGAAGGATTATAATTTATAACAATATTCCTCTAAACAAAATGGTATCCATCGATGAACGACGCGATTTTGACGGAATCAACTAACTTACATCGGGGGGTAAAACTGTCTACAGGTGCAGCATATAACATTGAAATCGTTCACTCCCTAACTTGTATTCGGCGACCTACTACTAAAGCCTGTGACTAGACTAAGAACGATCGGTTTCATGATGAAAAGGTCTGAACGGCGGTGAAGTAGGTCTGAGCCACCGTGAGAACCAGCAAGACAAATGCAGCCAGCGCGGATATAAAGGACCAGGGTGTGTCAAAATAGGTGTACTTGAAGCTCGCCCACTGAACGTGCAACCCGCTCCGATAGTAACGATGAACATCATTGAACAATTGAGACAAGTAACACATATCTATATCAAACGCCACCTCTTTTCCTGCGCCGTTGATGAAATGGGCGACTTCCCCATCCGTGCCAAAATGGTTCTCTATTATGTTCCGATCGCATAGATACTCAACGTCCCTGTGAGTGTTTATGAGGCAATCCAAGAGGGTGACGTAGGTGGTGATGTCCATGGAGCAACCGTTGTAGCACTGCTCGAAGGCCTCGCAGTTGAGCAAGAAAGAGCTCATGAAATCGTCGATTGTGATGGTGGGCATTTCTATGACGCCGTGCCTGAATGTTACATCCAGGAAGCTATCTCTCTCCCTGCGAGTGATTTTAATCCCGGCGCTGCGAAGTTTAGAGACGCAGTAGATGACGTGGGTCGGCGTAGGGACCCTCTTTTTTTCTCTATCCGGGTTGGGTATGAAGCTGCACCGAACCAAATCCAGCAAATGTTTTCCCTTGAGACGAGGGAAGCGGGCGATGACTTCGTCCGGCCGTTGCGTTGAATTGTTGAAGAATTGGAGGGCGAGAGAGGACAGTGTTGGGGTTGAATCTTCTGGAGGCAATTTTGAGAGTTCGTACAAGCGTTCCAGGATGAAATAAGGGATCTGATTCTCGACCTTGAGAAAATCCCTGTAGAGAGAAGGGAGTATCCAGGACATGGTGACGAGGGGGTCATCGGGTTCGAAGGGGACCAATCTCCCAACTTTGCGGAACAATTCGAGGATGAAACAGCCATCAAGAACCATCATTTCAATAAAGTCGTGAGAGTTAAGGGGGATGGATTCGGAGTAACAATCTCGGGCTTCAGATTCCACAGGGGCTATGGCTTTCAAGTAGTCCTCCAGGCCTAAGCCTTGGACGTGGGTTCTGGAGAGCAAAGAACCCAGATAGCGCCACTTGTGCTCCTGAATCATATTCAAGCGAGGCTGGGCGAGGTGATAAGGACCTATGGATGCGATACGGGGCTGGTAGACTTTTCCGTTAACGTCGGCTAAGCTGGTCGGGGCTCTGAAGATGCAGCAAGACTTCTTACCCGCGGTTTTGCTAAGTAATTTTGGGTCCTGGGAAATGTTCTTCAGCATCGAAGCCAACCTCTCTTCATCCACTTTCCAGATATCAATTACGTGGTGATTACCCTCTCCCTCCATCGCTGACCGCGAAGCTGCTTGGCTCGCAATTGCCTCAATCGGACCTGTTAACGCCACTTCCCACCTCAAGCCATACACGTAGCCGGGCATAGATTTCAACTAATCATTTACAAGACCATTTCTTAAATTATAGCCGCCACACGCACGCATGGGCGCAATTTCTAGTTTTTATATATGTGTGAATTGTTAAAGATACAGCTCTCCCTATCACAACTGGATAGGCAACGTCCTCGTTTTGAAATTGAATGTTACTCGGCTGGGCCTATGATATTGTTTTTGGTAGGATTGGAAAACATTTGAGCTCCATTTTTTTAAAATACTTCATTTCCTAAAATCCAACCTCTATATAAAAGGTTTAGAGTTGAGAGCTTTTATTTTTTTTAACTTTTTAAAATTTTTTAAATTAAAATTTTAATTATTGAAATATTTTTTAAAATATAAATTATAATGTTTAAAAATAAAAATAAAAATAAAAATTTTAATTTTAAAGTATAGACGTATATTCTTAAATTTAAATTTAATTTAAAAATTAAAAATATTTTTTTTTAAGAAAAAGTAAAAGAGTCCCAAAAGAGTTGCCTCGGCCCTTTTTTTAGAGCTGGATTTCAAAGTTTAATTTCTTTAAAAAATATTAATTTTTTAAAATTCAAACACTCATTTCCTAATTGAAACTATCAATTAAGGCCAACCTTTAAAGAGTTAAAACCTAAATAAGATGATTTTATTAAGCCTAATTTCATTTTAGATGTTTCATTTTGGCCGACCTTGACCCTAAGGGCTGAAGGGCCTATATTTTTTTTCATTTTTTAATTTAAAATTTTAAAAAATATATTTAAAATCCTAAAAAAGTTATTACACACAATATAAAGTCTAACATAATAAATTTAAGATAATACAAAATAACTAATTTAAGTCTAATTTAAAGTATCAACATCACAAAATCAACACATAATAATTAAATTTTACTAGCATCATCAGATAAATCTTGATAATTTTCATTAAGATTAACATTAATATAATTTGATCTTTTTCTTTGTGAAGCCTAATTAGTTATTACACATGACATTTAATTTTGTCATGTATATTTTTTATATTAAATTTTTTAAAAAAATATAAGAGGGTTTAAAAGGAACCATCCTGATCTTAAAGGATCGACTCTTTTATTTTTAGGCTTAAGAGAGCGCTTTTTAATCCTGATTTATCATTTTATATTTTAAAGGAGTAGCTCAATTCTAAATTATTTTTAAGTTAAAAAGGGCCAACCCAACGGGCTCAGTCCTAATTGACAGCTTTATTTTTAGTGATAGTAATTTAAAGTAAAATAAGAACTTCAAATAAACCATAAAAATGTTTTGACTTTTGAAAAACATGTGAAAGTAGTATTACTATTTTTCTAGAAGCCATGCATAATTGCATGCTTAAAGAGCATTCATAAAGGTATTTATATAGAATACTCATTAATAAGATCATCACATTATATAGTAGCAAGAGTTAAACTTATAATATTATAAATTATGAGTCAAATTCTTATTCATTGGACTAATACTTATCCGTAAACGTAGTTTTATTTCAAAAATGCATAAGCTCATTTTCAACTACTTTTCAAGCGTATGCCATGGCTCGGGTTGACCGAGAATATTCAGCAGGTCCAATTGTAGCTAAAATTGCTTCAATATTTGGGGATGGTGGCATGCGCGATGAGCCAATACGAGCCAGGTAGCACCCCATGACACCTTTGATGCATAGAGCTGTCGCATATTTACACTTGAGGAGTTTTAGACAAGGAGAAAATGAAAATAGTTAAATTTTATGAGAGGTTGAGAATTGTGATGCAGCAAAACCCAGAGAAATATAGCATCCCCCAATTATTTGGACTGGCAGGCGTAGAAAATAGTGAAGGTTCATTTTTATGAAAAATACATGTATGAAACGCTTACATATCACCACTATTCCAAGTATACATGGTTTTGAACCCAGCGGTGAAGTCATTGAGGTTGAAATGTATGGGATTCATGGGAAGTTATATCAGTCAGCCCATAGAGTGAAGTGGAAGGGAGTTTCGGGAGGGAGCCAATTGAAGCCTGCCTGCAAGGCGGGTGGCGGGATAATCAACCCTTCTGCCATGCTGTCAATCAGAGCTGGCATGTTGAACACCTCCTCTTCGTCCCAGTAGCTGCTCTCGCACCCTGTCATTCTCACGACGTCCCACGAGAAAGAAGCACCAGAAGCCTCCCAACTCTCTGTCACCTTACCGGACACGTACGTATCACTGTCTTCCGTGGAGCCATTCATGTCTTTCACGGAGGAGCCGTGCCAGTGAAGATGAGGCATATTCATAGATCCAACGCCTGGAGCTATGGCTGCCATGTCCCTCACACCAAAGCTTTCGATCCATTCCCCCCTTTTCTTGTTAGCCGCTTTGCGCCCCCCGTGCTCCTTTTTAGTCCCTCCCCTTTGCTTCTCCATTTTGTTTCTTTCTGATCTCATCTTTCATCCACAGTTCAGGAGTCCTTTGCCTCGTTTCTTTCGTATTCTTTGACCACAACGTCACATACTCGCGTTTTTACGAGCTTTTTATCAACCCCCGAGCGCAGAATTGCTGCTTGTTACCTGGAGATAGCGCCGTGAATGCGTGATAAACGTGGCATGATGCTTTATGCATTTCTTATGCTAAAAAAAATGTTCCACGCCAAAGAAACTGAATCTCTGTTTCTCCCGGGACAAGGCCCACTTGCCTGAGTGGGACACCCGGGATTAGAAACCCGGTTTGCAGTCGTGTTTGCGATTCTTGGTTGTTGTGGGTTTTTAAATATATGGGATAACCTTTATTATTTGCGTTAAATTATTTATTGAGAGACTAAAGATGTTTGACCTAGGAAGAGAAAATATACTTATTATTTTATAAAAACGAATTATATAATATTTATTATGATACTTTCCGTCTTATTATTATTTAACAATTAATTTTTTTTATTGATTTTCAATCAAAAATTAGGAAAAACTTCACCAGTGTGATCATTCGTTTATCTTTCAATTAATCGTGCTCTGCATCCAAAGTAATGTTGTGGGGTCAACTTAGTTATGCAATCCGAGAGGCAAAAAATAAATAAAAGATTGCGTGAGCCATGTGTTCAACCTTGAAAGGCTCGTTCACTAAACATAGACGTAACATAACTAAACCAGCACGGTAATGGGCCGGCCTGCAAGATTGCTCAGTGAAACAGTGAATATTCCTATAAGAGAGGTAGACGTTTGGCTGCACAAAAGATGGATTAGACACCACTCCACGAGGAATGGACATGACGCAACTTCAATTTCACCAGAAGTCTTACCCTTTTCATGAAAAAAATTGGGTTAAGTTTTTGGTCTGGTCCATAAAATACTGATTTTAGTAATTCAATATTTTACTTTGATTTTTTCTTTCTCATTTTTTTTATACAAGAGATAATAATTTATTTTAATCTAATAAAGTTAATTAAAATAATACAAATACTTATAATTATATAAAATTTAAAAAAATTATAATCATTTAATTTTTATAACTTTTTTCAATTATAATTTAATTCTTGAACTTTGATTCATTGTAACTCAATTCTTATAATTTTGATTTGATTGTAACTTGAGCTCTGAATTTTGACTCATTACAGAATAATTTTAACCATTTAAAATATTAGTCTTTATATTCTAAAAATAAAATTTTAAAAATTTAAAATTATGTTTTGAGACTAATACTTTGAATTACTATAACTTTTAATTTGATGAAGATTATAAAGATTAAGATTTTAAAATAATGTTAATTTTTTTAATTTTATTTTTTAAAATATATACATTAATATTTTAAGTGTCTAAAATTATAGAGAGTTAAAATTTAAAAATTGAGTTGCAATAAAATCAAAATTTTAAGTATTGAATTGCAACAAGTCAAACTTCAAAAACTGAATTACAACACCAAGGCTAATTAAATAAATTAAATAATAATTTTTCCTAAAATTCATCACAAAATATTAAAGGCTAATTATAATAAAAATAATTTAACTATACTAAAATAATTTTAATACTCAACACCAAGGTACTAAAAACCAGACCGGTCATTGAACCGGTTGAAGCAGTAGTTCATGGATTAGTGATTCAATCGGGGGTCAAACCGGAGTCAAACCGGTTATAATTAAAATAATAAAATTTAATTAAATTATACAAAAATATTTTTATTTGACTATAAAAAATATTTAAATAAAAAGATATCAATCATCAAAATATTATATAAATTAAAAATACTATTTTTTAAAAATATAACATTTTATAAGATGAAATGTATAAAATGTATAACCAGAATTAAAAATTAATTTTTATTTTTTACTTAACATCATTTAAAAAATTATAATAAAATAAAAAATATAAAGATTAAATATTTAAATATATATATATATATATCAAATGGTAGAAAAAGTTGCGGTCACCAAGTTATATTCAAAAATAGGGATAATAATAATAATATTTTAAATATTTTTTATTTTAAGTAATTAAATTAGTAATTATTGATATTAAAATTTTAAAAACACCAAGTCCTAAGAAAAGTGGAGGAAGCGTGACGCAATGGGCAATGGGATTAGTAGTCAGTAAATGGTGTAGGCTTGATTCCGTTCAATCATTACATCAACGTAAATGGTGCAGGCATTTTTTTTAAAAAAACGTTCAATGAAGCTTGAAACTACTCTTCTCCCCATCTTTTTCCTCCGTCATCTGTGTGCACTGTGAAACTTTCATCCTCCTTAGTGGAAATCGCAGATGGGAGAGGTTGAATGGCTTTGGTATACGATTTCTTTACTATTTCTTTCCTCATCATTTTTTTCCTGAATCTTCTCATCTTCTCTTTCCTTTTTTTCCCTTCCTTCTTCTTCATCCCTCATCTTCTATTCATCCATATTCTTCGTCTCTTTCTTCTGATGGCTGTTTTTTTCATTTTGATTTTGTTTCTTGCAACCCAGTGACCCGATTAACCCAGCGAGTTAGCCGATTTTTTTCGAGTTAACTGAGTTACATCGGGTTACTGTGTTTCTAATTTACTTTTTCATCCGGACTGGCCAAGAGACCGGTTCACCGGTTTATCGATCTGACTGGCCGGTCCGGTCTGGGTTTAAATACCATGCTCAACACAACATGTTAGGAAAAATTAGGAAAGGAAGTGAGAAAACGCTGTGTTGAACTCAACATCCAAACTTCACATTATAGTTGTAATTATATTAATGATAATCTTCCTCCTTTGTAATTTTCGTCGAATTGACACGGTAGTTCTACAATGCCATCTGATGCAATTATTGTTTTTAAATTTTCTTACAAAGTGTTGCTTTTGACAAATTTACTTTTTTTAATATATATATATATATTGAAATATATTTTAAATTATATTCTATACTTATTTGTTGACATCAATTATATTTTATACTTAAAATTTATCTTTTTTGAAAAATTTTATGATATTATGTTCACACATTTTTTTATCGTATTAAAGAATTAGCGAGCAGGTTTTACTTTGATATATAATGGCAGTGGGAGTAAATCGTAGACAATTTTTTAATTAAATTGCTACGTACCAAAGGATTAAGATTCACTCCACTCTCGACCAATTATTTAAGTGAGGAAAGCTTTTAATGTAACATTTTAAAATTTTAATTAGAAGCATCAAACAAAAAAGGAATTATTTAGGAGTAACCTGGAACAAAATTTAGGGTTTTATAGTGAATTTGAAGGAGGAGTAAGGCTTCTATCCACAACCATTCGTGGTTGTAAGCTCAAGGGGGTCACCGCGCATAAATGGATGTTTCTAGGAGTGGAGTATACTCTTTGATTACAACTGTACACCGTTGTGTCCTTCACACGAGATGATTGGTTGTAGTTGGGCATCCCTAAAGGCATAGAGTACTATCAAATAAACACTATTTACGGTTAAGATTTTCGCTAAAGATTATTGGTCGCAATTGAAGATAGAAAGGACAAATCTGAGGTGAGTGGCTTCAATCGTGGATTGATGCGTTTTATAACGAGGACAATCGTCTACGGTCGAAATCGCAAAACTTAATTTAATTAGCTAAAAAAGGCCAAAAAACAAAGAGGTAGGACGAGATAGAGAGGGATTGACGGAAAGAATCATTTTGCTCTACTAGGCCACGCTTGATTAAAAGGTCAAGGGGCATTTTGGAGCTATGGAACATTTGGGGTAAGTTTTCTAAACTTATCTCTTCCTTCCTCTTCTTCTTTTAAGGGTTGTTGAGTTAGAATTTATTAGAGGAGGATGAATTTCAAACTTAAAGGACTATGCGTCAGAACACATTGACTTAAATGAAGTTTGTAAAGTCTCTCGCGCAAATTTGAACTTTACTTACACACATCATAACATACTGTATCAATCAATTATCATATTCAAAACAATTGTTTGAAAATATAGGATCTTTATTTTAAGTTAAAAAAGCACAACTAGACATAGGCCCTTACCCTTGAAATGAGAATCAAAACATTTATTTTTCTCAAAAAGGCATTATGCACTATAAAATGTACCACATGCCTTGTGACATATAGTACATAGCCACGAGTTTCAACTTGGTGTCATGTGCCACGATATATGTATCAAATTTTACCGTTACAACATCTTGTTGATATGAATTTCCAACACATGTCATTTTCATATTTGATGTCTGATTAGAATAATTTAAGTGTTACTTGAAGCTTGGTAAGCAAGTAAACTAATGAAACAAGTTTGTACATGATCTACGGTTTGATCTCAATTTGAACTCTTAGGTGTAAAAAGGCACTTTGATTTTTAAAACAAGCACTTTAGGTGCTTAAATCACTCTTTTTACGTTATTAAACAACTTAAAGCCTTGAACCAAGCCTAATAGAACTAAACACACCTGATCAACACATTATATCACATATCACACAACATATATATGCCCAGTACTCACACAACTTCAATTGGTTTTAAAATAATTTGTGCAAAATAAAATGTTATTCATATTTTTTGTACGTACAAGTATAATTTAAAAGGATAAGACTTATGTGTTTATCCTTATATATTTAACATATTTATATTCAATCAAATCATGACAAGTGAATATTAATATGTTAATTAAATTAATAACAAGTATTTATTATATAATAAATAATTTATAAAAAATCTACATGTTTTGATGTAATAGCAAATAAGCATGGAGTATATAAGGCCAAGTATAAAGGTTTTCCCCATTTTAAAATAACCAGTGTGAAAATAAAATAGTTTTTTTGGTTAAAAGAAAAGAAAATAAATTATGATTTATATTTTAATTTGCAGTCAGTAACAAATTGTAAAGTAAAACAAATTATTTATATAGTAGGGGAAGAAAGGAGCGCTAGAACAAAAAAATATATTGAAATTTAAATTTGCAAGGGTCTAATATATAGACTAAAATAAAATATTGTATATATTTGAGTATAATTGAATAAAAAATTCTAAAATAAAATATTGATATTTTTTCAAACAGTTTTTTTATTTCTATCTTCTAATAACTAAAAATACTTTCTACATCATGCCAGGAATAAAAAATATAGCTAACTGCAGTCACTAGACATAAAAATACATATATAAAGTTATTTTTATTTTTTTTGAAATCTATAAAAATTAACTTTCACTCTTCTTTCCTCCATTCCTTTCAAACTATGTGGAGTAATACCCCATGCATCGCATTGGTCTAAAATCTAGTATAATTATATTTTATAAGATCAGACCAGACCAAAGAACCTAAACGCTCAATCCCATCTCCAGTACAACCCAAAAATGAAATCTAGTCTTGTTAGTATTTTTAGTCTTTTGAATCAGTTTTTTTTGTTTTTGCAAGATTGAATTGGGCCTGTCTGGATTGAATTGGGTCATACATTACTAGAGAACTTTTATATAGCCTTAGATTAAGTGATAGATGGCTTTAAAATTTTCACAGACAATAGTAACAATAATCCACCTGTCTAAAAGCCTCCACTGTCACATATACCACAGAGAACTTTTTCAATATTATTCATGGTATCTTCTTTAATCTTTGAGTCACGTACACATTTCTAATTATATGTATATTATTAAATTTAAGTCACGTACAAATGATTTGTGTGATTTCAAAGTTTTAAATCCGTGCAAATAATTAACTTTCATACAACTATATAAATATTTTCTTGATGGAAACATGAGACGCCAATAAATTTATATTTAATATAAAATTGAAAAACATGCACAGAGAAATAATATGAAACCAATTATTCTTACTATTAAATAAATTAGCATGACATTTTTGGGTTGAGCTCGGTGGGGAGGGGAATGACAGTGTTGACTGTCCAAAGTGCTCAACAATATAAGGGAAAGCAGCCCCAGCCAACGAGCCCAATGACGTGGGTACCTTCGGGGGCTCAAGGCCGTAAGCCTACATAGTGTTTGGTTGGAGCCCAAGGAAGACAAACCAGGCGACGCAAGGTGGTTGGGCCACCGAAATTCAGATGAATGCGGAGCAACTCTTGAGCGTGGAAGCAAGAGCCTTCTCGAGAAGGCAAAAAGATGGCCCCCTCCGAAGTTCTTGAGTCACAATAGCGCAAAAGCTTCCGCGGAGAAGTTCGTCACTTGACCATCCCTAAAGCTCATTCACGAGGCTTCACACCACAACGCCTTGGAAAAGATTGCGTGTGCGTGTAGAATAAAGCATGGCATCAAGACTGATTAGTCCTTTCATTTTGTTCCTTATTGAGAACCGACAAGGTCCCTTTAACTCTATTCTTCCCTTTCAACTTACCTCCCTCCCCCGCTCCCACCCCTCCTTATTCCTTCCCTTCCTCATCCTTACATTCGTTGGGACAATTTTTTTCGTCATACTCCGCGAGATTCACGAAAGGACGACTGCAATACGTAAACATTATAGTATTTCAATTCAATGGGAAATGTGACCCACATGTCACTAAATACACTAGTCATGTACATGCACTCGGGTATTTTTTGCTAACTAGCCTACTCCATTTTACTACGATGCAAGTCAGACTGTACTCTTCTGATGATGATCATCATAAAAAGAATAATAATAAGCCTGCCATCCCGATTTAACATGCCAGCTCCTGGGACATCTCTTCCACTAAAAATCCAAAGATAGCATGCTCAAGCTCCCCGGCCACTTCTCTCACATGTTCCCCATTCCTCTTCAACCCTTCATCTTCTCCATTCAAGTCTTGTCCTACCATCATATCAATCGTGTTCGTCTCCACCTCTCTCCACAATTCCAGCCTCTTGCATACCCCTCTGATCAACTTCTCTCTGTCTTCCTCTTCGCTCCCTTCTCTTTCCTCTCTCAACAGATCACAAATTAGTTTCTTCATGTCTGCCCTGATTTCTCCTCTTTCTTCCCAGTTTGACTCCCTCAGGACTCCTAACAATAACTCACTGTACCCATTTTCTTCATCTGGCGTCTCCTTATCGTCATCTTCCCAGTCATGCTCCTCAAGCAGTGTTTCATCCTCTTCTTCTTCTTCTTGATCCAACAATCTTTTCTCCAGTTCGAGAGGATCCAGTTCCGCTAGTTTCTCAAATCTACGGAGCTTCTGTAGAAGCTGCTCCTTTGCTCCTGTCAAATTAACACGAGAAAATGAGCATCCATAGTAAATATATCGTTCCTTCTCTAACAATTATGATTGCTGGTCAAGCATTAGAAACAGACAGTAATAAATGAGAATCGCCCTTAGTAGTCTTCATTTAAGTGAGCCCGCATGGAGGACCGTCTCTCAAAGACAACAAGTACAGGATGGAAAGCAGCTCTTCGAGTAGTGAATAATTTCAAATGCCCAAATTGATCCTCAGGTGCTCGTACCGTCAACTATTGGCAGTGCCAAAAGCAACGTATGACCAATAATTCATGGGATCCACCACTTTCAGGTGGCTAAAAAGAGGTCAGAGGCGCAGAAATTTCAACATCGAAGATCGACCACCAAAAGCAACGAGATTTCAAACAACTTTTGATTACTAAAATCCTAATCAGAATACTGTAAGGTCGCATCGTAGCTCAGAGGGCTCTGGTTACCAAACTAAAACTGTGGGTCATATTCAAATTTATGAAAGCTGTGCTCGTGTCTGCGAGTAAAAGTTGAGCAGGACACGTCCACACATTGAATGGGAAATGCCTTTTGGGAGCCAGCATGATCTTTTAATGGAACCCACAGAGATATTGGGTTCAATATCAGCAATAGCCATATCAGCATTAGCCCCTCTATTTTATTAACATATAAGCAAATTTTAAGAGTCGTGTACGACATTTTGTTGACGGAAAACGACCACACGATCAACAGAGAATGGTACAAATTAAAGTTAAGTATTGACATACTCTGTACAATGGCATAGCTACTCTCCAGATCAAAACCACCATCCTCCTCCTCCTCCACCTCCTCATTGTTTTCATGCCCCTCGTCATCATCCTCGAATGGTGGGTCTAAAACAGAGACTGGACTACACTGTTCTTTCTCTTCCGCTTCCTCTCCTGATTGGCATTGGTCGACCCTCTCTGCTTCGTTATTCTCTTTGTCCTATCAAAATTCATCGCAACCTTCGTTAAAATATTGTCCTAATTTTGCTAATGCTTAGTTTTCTTTTGATTTAACAATATAAATCCAAATTATAACTTGGTTTCTTGCAAATTCAATGTCCGTATCTAATAACAGCATGTAAGAGAGGAATCAAAATCAAAAGTTTAATTTTAAGAAATTAATCCCTAGACAATCCACTGCGTGATTATTATTTATTAATACAAAATACACAAACATTTTTGGATGACAGAAACATGATGGAAAGATACAACAATAAATTTGCAGCAAACAAAAACTGTCGAATTGACACATCTGACCCTCCACTGGCCGGATTATCGGCTTTTATACTTTTGGAGCGATTCGCTGGTATACTTGTCATTCTACAGTTACATTCCGGCCAAGTTTGCAGACCCTGGGCTCCAATTGCCGACACACGCACAAGCAAGTTGACAACACCCCCCCCCCAAAGAAAAAAAAAAAAAAACCCTGCAATTGAATAAACCCAGGTGACTCGCTAGTCAGCTCGGCCCATCTGAGGACCGAGTTTTCATATACTCATCACCCAGTGCTGACCAGACCGTTGTGTTGATCTTGAACGAAAATACAATTAAAAACAAAAAAAAAGGAAAAAGGCAAACCTGTGTTGTGCGGTGACCCGGAGACGATGCCGGGGAAGCTAATTCTGGCGTGCGGGAGGCAGAGGAGGGGCTACTTAGGAGAACGAAACGGAAAGGGCTTTGGCAGAGGGCATTGTCATCACAACAAGCACACTCCGTAATGTTGCTCAGTTTGGAAAGAAAGTCAAACTCTTCAAACTCGCCCCCCTGGCTACTGATCGACGTTTCCATGCCCAAAGATTTATCTTCATTGCTCTCCGACCAAAATGCACTGCTAGGCCTACCATTGCAAGAACAGAGAAGCTCCACCTCACAGGCACTCAAGTCCGAGACATTGTTATCCTTCTGAGAGTCCGTCTTTTCAGAGAATCCATTGGAAAGTTCACCAGGACCAGTTGACGAATCCCACCTCAATATTTCCTTCACAGGGGCCCCAGCTCTCTCACCCTCTATTTCCTGCTTCCGGTTCCGATTACGCTGCGTTAGTCTCTTGAAGAATGACCCAAAGAGGCCGAAGGCATTGCTTTTCTGTTGGGGTTTGGTCTTGGGAGAGGCGGAGGACTGTTTCTGAATCCGAAGAGCGGCTTCAAGAAGAAGCGCTGCCGTTCGAGCAGGGATGTGAAGAAAAATGGGATTGGGAGAGGCGGAGGTGCTTTTCGCCGGCGAGGGCAATTGGAAGAGGGGCGATTTTCTGGGGTCAGGCGTGTTGGGGAATGAGAAAAAGCAAGCGTGTTTACAGAAATTAACGGGCAAGTTTGAGTTCTGATGCATTGGTCTTGGTCTTCGCTTCTTCAGTTGCATACTACTCTTGGGGGAAGGCCTCTTCAGCTGGCTACGCCTATCAGAAATGAATTTTTTCAGAAGGAAGGGTTCTTGATCCTCCTTCAGTAGCTCGCGCAGGTGCTTTTGAGCCATCATCACCTGTATGATTGCAGAACTGTGCGCCACAGTACCAAGTTATACCGAAGAGATTACAAAACGAAATGTTGCAGTAATTACGAGGACGAGGAGGTTCAAGCTCAGACTACGTGAACAGGAGGACAACCATCCCCTAGGAAGATCGACATTAGAGACAGAGAGGGGGGGGGGTTGGGAGGTAGGGAGGGAGAGAGGGGGATGGGGAAGTGATTCAAATCGGGTTGGGTTAAAATACCGAGGCATGAACTGGTGAATAGTGTGATCAGTTATTTTTAAAGGGATATATATTAAATAATACTGAAAGTGGAAATTACTTATACTCTCCTTGTCTTATTTTGTAAGTTTATTTTTGTTCGTTAGCGATGGAAAAGAGAAGAAGGGGTTTTGAGTCAGAACGAGCGGAGGGGAAAGAGGCGTGTATGAGGGGTCAACAAGATTATTAACACATGGAACATCATAAAAAAAATAACAATCGCGGACACTGTTGTTACCCTAAGTGGTTCAGTTACACCTGCTTGTTACTTTAAGGTTAGGATACATTTTTATTTAAATTATTTTTTTAAAAAGCATTTAATATTTTAAATTATTTGTTATAGTAATTTTATTTTTAAAATAATTAATATGTAATATGTTTACCTCTAATGTTAAAGATCATTAAAAATGCAGATTGATATTTAAATTTAATTAAAAATATCATCTGTCGTACTAAGTAAATTTAAATTAAAATATATTTTTACTACATTTTAATTTTTTTATGAATAAAATTATTACAATACAAATAATTTTTAGGATATTGAGTCTTGCTCCGAAAATATTTAGAAACAAAAAAAAGTACCTTAATCCTTGACTTTAACAGCAAAAACTTCGGCACCTTCTCTCTTACTGTAATGTAATGTAATGTCTGACCGACCTTTTCCTCCCACCAAAGCTGTGCCTATTTTCATTACTTCCAAATTCTGAAGTCTTTAATTCATTAGTATGCTATATATATCTCCCCTCCCCCACTCAAAAGTTGATTTTGAATCGTCCATGTCTCGTGATTCAGAAGAGGCTGATCAATGAGCATACTTCTACAATAATGATGATGAAAATGAACACTGGTTGAATTTTAAGACGGTGTTAAAAAGAGTGAACTGTGCCATTGACTGGGTAACAACTGTTTCGGTTTGGAGTGAATCAGAAAAGAGAACCGAACGAGGGTGAGTTGTTAAAGTTAGATTAGTGATGGATTGGAACTGGAGGGGTTTGGTCAGTTATATGTATATATAGTAGTTCATGCATCACTGGTGGGATAAAAGAATAGCCTCGCGCACCAAAAATGCAGCCCCCCGAAAGCTCTCGCTTTACAGCTGGCCCATTCTATCCCTTTCATCCCAAAAAGCTTCACTTTCTGAGTTCTATCTGACATTAAAGAGGCTCCTTTGCTTTCCTTTTTCCTTTTTTACCATTTCTATTTTCGTTTATTTACCATCCTCATATTCCAAACCAGAACCAAGGGCAATCCTCAAAACAGACTCTCACTGTTACCATTCCTGACCCCAAAATGACATTTTATCGGTCAAAACTGGACCAGCTTAACTGCAACCGACAATACATCCTCCCTCCCCACTTCCAGTTCATGGTCAGTAGATCAAACAAATTATTTTATTATACAAGAATCAAAAATAAAATGAAATTTTGCGGCATGAAATTTAAAACAAACTTCTCCATCCCTTCGAAGTCAAACACGTACGTTTTCATTGTTTGCCTCCTCCAAACTATGCTGGTTTTCTTTTAATCCTCACAAAACTCAGTGGAATGTTGCATAATGATGATCAATTAAACGCAGTGAAACTGAGACGCTGGTACACAACCTGAGACTCAGCAGCACGCACTATCTCCTGTCTTTTGGAGTTTTTACGCTTCGCTGGGTCCTTTTCCATTTCCACTGACCTCACCTTTAATTTAAATTTAAAAAACATTGAGGCCTACTCTAAACACATGAGACGGTAAATTCTTTAAATTGGCAGGACAAGACCGCAATATGAAGGCCACTGTGTCTGGAGCTTATTCGTTCGATAGATTAGATGTACTAGCGTATTATATATGCATGTCGAAGAGGATTGTATTAGATTGGGTTGGAAGGCCTAGGGAGTAGTGAAGCCTGACCCACTCGGCTCAATAGCTTCGCCTTCGTCCGCGAACTACGATCATCCCTTTCTGAGTAAAGTCTCTGCCTTTCCTGTTTCAACTATCAAACCCACAGTTGAATGTTTCCTCCCCGAATAAAGAAATCAATATATACCTATCCAGTGTTTGTGGCTATGAGTTTGACCTCATGTTTGAAGACTGCCCTTTTGCAACACATCCAAACCAAGTCAATTTAACCCCCCCTTCTTTTTTCCTCAAGCATCTGATATGCGTGATGAGCACCAAAATTAAAGAGAGAGTACATTACAAAAAATTAATTTATTAAGAGAGAGGATCTCTTAAATTTATAAACTCCATATCATTTTTTATGTTTCTTGATGTGAAACTCGTGATAATGACACCCCGTCAAGAGTCAACATTTTCAACAGCTTCATTTCACGACACTTCACTCGATCTCTTATCGATCAGAACCCTTTGTGAGTAGCCATTTTCATGACATCAATTTTTTAATAAAAACACTAATATGACAAACATAAATTTAAAAAGAGGGTCCATTTTAAAAGACTAATTTATTAAAAAAAATCTCTTAAACTTATAAACTCTATACTAGGCTTTTTAATATGGGGCTTGTGACAATATGCCTCTCGTTGGCCCTTGGCTTGTGTGGCTGTCCCCCACTGGCCATCTTTTTTCTCTCGTTCCATGGTACTGCCCTGAGATGCTTCGTTCAATGGTCCAGTTGGTACCAGATGGCACGCGCTCATCCCTGCCACTCAAAGTGCTGCAACTAGCCCAGCTTCTTGGTAACCAAACAAAAAAAAAAAAACACACACACACACACACACACACACACACACACACATCTCACTGCTTAATCTATTAGGTGGCTAATAACTAACACCGCCTACCCATGGACAATTGCACCAGCTGGCTTCTTAAGTATATATCATACGTATCAGGCAGCCTGTGACGTGGTCAATTATTCGTGCATCAGAAGGTCAATTGAGTTTAACGCGAACGGACAACCATCCGTGGTCAATTATTCGTGCATGAGAAGGTCAATTGAGTTTAACACAAACGGACAACTATCCCTACTTCCCTATGTCGCCTAGACACGCCAGAGATCCCACCTATATACTGCCGTGCCTTTTTTTCTTGGGCCTGACCACTGTTAATTGAATATGGATTTCGCCTCTTGTTTCCTTTCTTTGACTCCTCCAGCACGATTTGAATTTAAAATCTTTAACATGCATAACTTTACTCCTGTCATCTTGGGCTATTTTATCACTGTACGAAATTTAATAAATTAATATCGTAATTAGCATGTTGTTCCATTTGTATCTGTGCTCTCAGTTCAACGTGGAGGTTTGATCATTTCTGCAGCCTCTTTCCTTTTTCGCTTCATACAACCACGAACGTCGTACGTGCAGAATATATATATATATATATATAGTTAATTAACTCCTTTATTCATACAATATATTCACTGACGCGGGTAGGTTACAAAGGAAGATACAAAGAGCATAGATTAACCAAGAAATAACAAATCTCTTGCACGCCCATTTCATGCCTGTGGCTTAAAGTGCCACAAAAGACACGAGAAGCTCACATACCCCCAAAAAAGAAAAACGCAGTTCAAGTTTCTCCTATGAGCTGCTGCTCCACGAATCTACCCATCATTTGTCTTTCTGCACGTATAGACCCATTTATATTTTAATCAACACTCACTTCCATATGTCGGGGCATAACGTAAATTTAATAATCCATGCACGCGGCTTGTATAATTACGCCAAATTCAACTTTTAATTAAATTAATTCCATGCTGAATAACTCTTCTCACTTTTTCTTATCCTCGTAAGCAAGACACAAGGATATTCATAAACTAATCAAGGGCCGAAGGAGGTGTCATAGCGAGAATCTTGGGCCACCTGTCTTTGCTTTGTCGTCTCACTAAAATTTAATCTTCCATTAAGGTAATGCAATCCTTCCACCGATACCAAACGCTAAAGTGGGTTAACACTTTACCAACCCAATCATTTTAAGCTTGGAAAGGAACTTATCCTGTGGTTGTCTTTTTTTTTTTTCCCTCTCTTAAGAAGAGAGGCGAGGAATCCCTTTTCCTTCGTTTCATTCACGACTTTCTTGCTGGAAAGTGGAAGAATAATTGCATCCAGGATTAATGTCCAAGGGCGAGATGATGGCTCATAGTTAGCATCATCATTTCCAATTCATCCATTTTGCTGATTGATGAGGGTACGTGCCCCGAGCAGGCATAATGAAGCACTCAATTGGAAGGTCGTTTTATTTTGTGCAATTATATATAAAAACAATTTCTCCCATGCTGTCTATCCATCGCTGTGCGTGTTCGCCGTTTGGACTATTTGGAAAACGAATGTCCAAGTTCATACATACATCCATACATATATATATATATATATATTCGCGTCTTACAAAGTAAACTATGTTATCCCCTGTGTATTTATTATTCACTCGGTGACTTGTTTTGTTACAAAGATCGTAATTTTTTATGGCTCCGGCTCTTCAAAATTAAAAAGTTGAAGCATAGACTATTTAATAGTTTCTTCGTGCTACACAGCACACACAGTAACATCATTACAAACGCGAAAAGATCATGTACAGTCGTTTTTTATGAGCTACTTTTAAAATTGGAAAAAAGTTGAATGATTGTATTTCACTGTGGATAAGAAAAATCCCGGTGCGAATACATGCGCTGCTTCAGAACTAATATCATGAAGCAACTTTCTGAGGACCCTAGCGCATGATGAGCTACCTGGGATCTTTATCCCCACAATTCTGTGATACTCTCAGTTTTTGGGCCTCTGCAGCCCTCTCTCATATTGATAAAAAGAAAAAACTTCTCTTGTAGAACTTTTGGTGATCACTTATTGAGTAATCCTGCCTGCTACAGGCCAGCTCGAATCCTACAGTATCTCATCATTCTGTTTCTGTGTACATGTACACCACACACATAGACATCGTTACCAAATATACATGCATGCAAAATGAAATTCAAATTATTTCACATTTGGGCAAGATTTATATACTTTT